CTTTATCTCCGACACTCCTCCATCTGCCACACTCCAGTGTGTCATCTGTCCGTACCTGCTCTCTATCTTCACATGTGGCTTTCTCTGTTCCCATGCCTGAAGGAAAGGGATTTTATATAGGTAATTTGTCATTCCTGTTGGTAGAAAGTTGCTGCATAATCATTTGGATGTTAGTATGCAGCAATAAGTGAGAGTATCAAGACTAGTGACAAGCAAAAATTTATGCCAATTGAGGGCAGTACAAGTCAAGAAAGCTTTTGTGAGAGAAGGTAAGTATCTATTATAAAGACTTTTTAAATAATCTAGATATAAATAATGTGCAGAATTTACCATGTGAGTTCTACTCAAATTCTTTGGCAGATTTATTTCATAAGCATATTATTACTGGAAATTTGGATATAATGAAAGATGATTCTTTAAAGAAAATAATAGAAAAGGATGCTAAATACATAATAGCTACAAAATATAAAGAGTAGACATTTTAAATTCTATAAAGAAAAACACAGATGATAATTTTTTTGAAACTTAATTGTTTTGCACATTATCCTCCAAATTGGTTTTTAGAATGGAGATATATTATTAATAGAATTGAAGATAAATTAGCTTTTATTAATTTAACTAAATATCCAATACATATAACATTTTTTACATTCAAAGCTAGAATACATAAGATACAGGAAAAATGTATTATTGTGCCTATCGATAAAGCCAATTATAAGTGTTTTTATGCACAAATCATAACTAATGAGATAGATACTACACAAACTTTTAAATTACAAAGTAAGTCTAAAGAAGATATTATTAACAACTTGTTGAAAGCTATAAAAAATTTAATGTTAAAACAAATCTATATTCAGAATTACCATATCTATATAAGATTCCTAGATTACGTAAACCTCTCATTAAATTTTGTTTTATTTCTAGTTCAGTAAATACTATACTTAAACAACCTGCAGTTTTATTAAGCAAATCACTGAATTAGTTATTTGTTAAATTACAACAAATTGCAAATAATAAACATGATTTCTGGATAATTAAAATAATGAACCTGTGTTAAAAACTCTAGAAAATTTAAATAAAACACAATCAGCAGACAAAATTCAAACACACAATTTCACTATGTTGTTTACATCTAATCCACTTAATGGTTTGATAATAGTGATAAATTCATTAATGGATCAATTTATAGATCTACCCAAAGAAGCAAAAACTAACTTTTACTGCTAGTAAGAACAAAAGGATATTGAGTTTTTGTGTGTATACATAGGAATTATTTATTTTGATAAGAACATTTATAAACATTAGTAGGTATACTGATGGGTTCTAATTATTCAAGCTGTGTTGGTAATTTATATGTTTATTATTATGAAAATAAATTTAGAAATAATTTTCCAAATCTGGACTTATTTTCCTTAACATACAGGTATATTGATGATTTGATTAGTATTGGTAATCCAGGAATAAGTAATTATATTGGTAACATTTATCCTACAGTCCTACAGATTAACACTTTTGTATCAAATACTGAAGTAAATTATTTAGATTTAAACATTAATATAGTTAATGATTATAGTAATACTAGCTTATAGCCTGTAAAAAATGACAGGGCAAGTACTACCTCACATATCATAGCTAACTGAAATAAATAAATTTTGCGAAATCAAGCTTTACCAACAAACAGGCAGAAAAGGGCAGTTGAGGCAACCAAATGTCAGTAAATTTCTTTGTGATACAATTAAAATTAAGATCATTCATGAAACGAATTTGTGGCATATTCATAGAATAATTATTATTAAAAACAGTTAGATTAACATCTAATATATAGAAAAGCCAGTGCATTTTGGTAACACGACATTCCAACAATGGCTTTTATGTCATGTTGCTTAGCAACAAAAGTATAATCTAATATTGTTATACTGAAAGTATAAAATGAAATGTATAGACAACAAAACTGGAAAAATATTTGGTGATTTCTTAATTTAGTCTTTGTTGATTAAAGATGTATGTTTTTTATTACAAACATTTGTGATATAACAGAAAATAACTAATTATGTTTTTACTTCAGGCTTATACCAACACTCACTACACTTATAAAGTTTCACGGCACCTCCATTAACACCTCCCTTGCACTCCCGTCACTAAAATTGGAATGGGCAGACAGTAATTGAACTATTCTACTTGGATAAATGCATTTTAGCTTTTGTGACTCCTCCTATTTCAAAAAATCAAGCATGATGTGACACACACACAGTGGCTTTTATGTAGATTAGGTTAATATTTATCATAAAAGAAATGATTTAACATTTCAAATTTATGGACTTTCCTCTCCCAATAGTAATGTCATACAGAGCATTATACATTCACAGCTTCTTAGGTATTGTAGAATTTGTAGTAATGTACAGTTCTTAATATCTAATATTAATATATTGGTAAACAAACTGATTTTTAATGGGTTTGATGAGAAAACTTTAATTAAATATCTTAAATAATTTTATAATAAATATAAAAATTATTTATCAAAAATTTAAAATAGTGATTTAAACAAAATTATAATATGTGCATTAAAAATAATTTCTAAAATTATTGTTAAGGAAATTATTGGAATTACTTATTGGACATTTCCTACCTTACATAAGTAGATTAATGTAGTTGTATCACCTTCCCTATATAAGACCTGCTACTGTGTGGATCTCTTAAGAACCATTGAAGATCCAGATAGTAGCATGGAAAGGGTGGCAGATGAGAGCTGTATTAATAATTTTGATTGGGCTTAGTATAGTGATACCTTAACATCTTGGTATTTATGTCCAAACATTATATTGGGGGTTGGAATGCTAACTTTAAGGACAGTTTTGCTGTCTCCCCCATTGATGTCTATTATTTCTTTCTTCCTATTATTATTTTTATTTTGATGAGCAACCAACTTCCCACATCTAGCTGCAGATAGTGAACAGTGGTAAAGATGTGGGATGTTGTGGGCTAGAGCAACCACATCTGCTCTTTTTTTTCCCCTAAGCATGTGAGACAGGTAAGGTTAAGGTTAAACTGGATAGTTGGTGTACCCCCAATGGGGTTTTACTTGTGCTGGTACCTGAGACACCCAGGGCACATTATATAATGACCCATCTTATGATTTGTGCCCTGGTATTGTACATTTGTATTGTGGCTGCAATTGTTTTTTAATTTTTTTTTCCTCCCATAAAATTAAATTTGGATATGCTATGTGAAATTTATGCTATCCTTCCTATTGATGTATTCTTTTTTTCATTTTTAGCTTTCCTAAATAAATTTTCTCTCTCTTATGTATAATATTATAAATCTTCTATGCATCTGTTTAAACGATGTAAGAAATGAATGATCCGTTTTGGATTGAGTAACAAGCTTCATCCACTGCTGGTAGTTTCAAAATGATGTTATGAAATATTAATGCAAGTGATTGAAGCTCATTATATTACTTAAAATGAATTCTGTATACTGTTTTTTTTTGCTTGATTTATGTAGTTTATACTTTTGTGATTTCTACCTGATTTTGCTAATATCGATTTGGCTATTTGTATAAACACCTATTACATTAACTTTTGTTTCAAAGATGTAGAAGCTGTGTTAGGATTTTTGTGATGTAGGATTTGCTGTTGTTAATTGGTGTTTTAGGTTTGGATTTTTACTTTTGAAACTACACAAGTTTCTTTATTTGGATAAAGTTCAATTATATTTGTTAGATGAGGTCTAGGTACTAAATGGTGATCAATATGTTGAAATTAGTGCAGTTTGACTTTTTTCTTAGGTGTGTTATTTTTAGCATACTTATGGGTAAATATTGTAGAACATAAATTTTTATTTATAACGTTTTAGTTATTGGCATAGTTAAATTTGGGGTTACCTTTGAATTTTATTTTTCCAAGGCATTCTTTAAAATATTTTTTAGCCATTGAAAATTCAGCAGATACTTTTATATAGTAATTATTATTGAGGTAATGCAAAATTAAGCATTTAATTCTCAGAAAGGGACTTGTAAAAGTCTACCAACTGAATGTCACAAATTTTTCTTTAATCAATTTTGAAAATTTCAATAAAAAACCTTGCAAAGAATATAAAATGAATTTTCCTTGAAAACATCATTTGAGTTAAGAAAGGGAGAAAAAAAGAAAACAAGAAAGAATATAATTTACTGATATTATTTCTTTATTATTAAGTATTGATAATAGAATTTGATCTTTTTTTTACCAGTAGTAAAAAATGTAATGATCATGACAACAGTTTGGGTGGGTACAGGAATGCTAGTTTAGTTTTTGTCAGGAGTAGTTATTTCTGATGTGAAAATTATTATTTAAATTTTAGACATTATAATAGGAATGTTATTTCCTTATATACCTCCATTTTTCATAACTAAAAAATAACTATTAAATTATTACAGAAATAAAGTATATAATGAAAGTTTTATTTCTAGCAGTTTGAAAGGTAAAGCTACAATTTCAAATGATGTATTGGAAAAAAATATCCCTCCTAGTCTGCAGTCTATGAACTATTTCATTGGTATGTCAAACATTTTGAATGAGGATCAACAAGACCCTGAAGGTGTAATGCTAAATTGCCTTACCTTTTGGTTTTTTTTTTTTTTTTTTGTTTTGTTGTTGTTGTTCTTCAACTTTAAGATCTTGCCTCCAAGAAGAAATGAGTTGATTGCTTAGGCTGTAAGGCAAATGTCATAAAACATAGTCCTTGTGGAACTTTTTATGTTAATTACTTACAACCATATTTTTGTATCATGAATATTCTGTTTGGAATTACCTGTCTAAGGACTATCGTTTCAGAAAGTTGATTGAACTAATTTCTTTGGCATAACATCTCAAAAGAATTAGTACCAATGTCAGAACTATCAAGAGATGATAATGATAAAATGGCAGTTTTTTCATTCATCTTGGTAAAACCAATCATGTTATAAAGGTTTTGGACTGTGATGTGTTTCTCTATAAAACTTAGGTGAAGTAATGTTTTTTTAGCAAGGTGCTGGATCATCATGCACAGGGACAACAACAGTTAATGACATTAAAGTTACTCCAACAACAGCTAGCCAAAGTGTTTCAGGTGTAGGTAGAGTGTGGAAGATGTGGAGCTTAAAGCCTCACCCACCAATGCGACCATGTCTAGGACTGTCAGCCAAAGATGAGGTCATTTTAAGGAGGGCCAAGGCAGGACGTAAAGAAAAAAGTTAGTACTCTGAAACTTTAAGTATTTTTATCACAACAGTTTTAAAGATCAACAGTCATTGAGTAAATGTACTGAATCATTAATGGGTTGAATGATAGAAAAAGATAGCAGAAAATTTTGTAATTAACTATTTATGTAGTTGGCTAAGTAGCATTTTTGGAACTAGTCAGATTGTTTACAAACAACTCTACAGAACAATTCTGATGACTTGCTATTGTTTATATATATAATGGTTAACAGACCAGTTTTATGACTTTTCAAATTATTATATAAGAAAAAGAAAATCTCTTTGCTCAAGTACACCAGTGTAGATATTCAAGATACTTGCCATTAATGCCAGTTCCATTGTCTAAAGGAACATTGAAAAAGCTACATAACATGAAGTCAGATTTAGCATCATACAAGTATGTCTGTTGTAGTACTAATGTTTGAGACAAAGGTTGTTGTGAAAATGATGATAGGGAATATAAATGAAAACAGTGAGATATTTAAGTTCTTTAAATGTCTTTGTGTATGGTTTTGTAATGGAGTTTAATGTGGGATGTGTAGCAATAATTGTATTTGGGTGCTATTTTTCTATGATAACAAAAATTATTTTTACACTGTTAATGAGCACTTTTAAAAAAAAATGCTTTAAATTTTCCCCCCAGTTTTTAGACATTCAATTTTTTTTTAACGATGCACCTGTGAAACTTCCTTGCATTTTATGTTAGAGAAACATCTTTTACTGTACAAATTATTAAAAGATATACATCTGATATATTTATGAGAAACCCTATAGTAATCACTTTGTAACATGCAGACAAAAGTGTAAGTTTGGGACATGAAGAAAAGTTTAGATATGATTTCAGAAGAAAACCAGTTGAAAATGGTTTCATAAACATCGTCTACAGAAATAGAAAACTTGAATGTAATACATAGACATAATTATTAAGCTTCTATTAGTTGATAGTGTGTGTATGATAATTTTGGTTATTGCCAAACTAATACCTTATTTTTAAATAAGATATATAATTAACAATGTTTAACACATTGAATAACACTGCATGCAAGAGCTTTTGGAAGATGATTTTTTTATTCCATGCTTTTGTAGTGCATTTGGCAGATCACATTTTAATATGGGATCTTAATTTTTGTATGGTTTCTGACATTCTTCTTTTTGTATTTTTACTTTGTCCGACAATTTTTTATATTTTTGTCTGCATGAATCCACACATTCAAGTAATTGACTATTTTTTCTAATTATGTGAAGTTTCTACCTTATTGTTGAGTCAACAAATAGTTTAATAATCATTTTTATATAGATGATTTACTGTTTCTATCTGCAGCTGTTTTATGATGATTAAACTCAAGATTTTTCAGCAGTGATAGATCCCTTTTGTACATTTTAGTCTAAGCTATATGAGATGGCATGCCATATTAATTATTTTGCTTATATCTTATAGCTAAATATTGTGCAAACAAACTGTTATATTAAGCTTTTGGCAGCAAACATACCTAACATATGATAGGTCTTTGTGTGTTATCAAACATAGGTTGGTTCATAGAGAATTTTTTCTCAAGTTTAAAATTATAGCATTTATGACCAAAATGTGACTTGGCTATGCACATTTGTTCTCTTATGGATTTTTTATATTTCTTTTTGATAGAGACATCTTGACAATATATTTGTATTACTTGAATTAAAGAGCACATTTTAACAAGTGTAACAACTAACTCAAGTTTTTCCATTTTGGAAAACATAATTATGATAGGTTTTTCTAAAGAATTTTTAAACATCAGTTACATTAATTGTTGACTTTACATACTTGGTCAACAGCTTAAAAAACAAAAATCAACAAAAACAAAACCAGTAGTGCTTACCTAACTAAAATGGTGAGATAGAAGAACTTATTTTTCAAGTGAGCCTAACATTTTTTGGACCAGTATCCAGTGTTGTCAATTACTGTACATAAGCATTCCCTGTTTTCAAAACTGAAATAATTTCTCTCTAAACAAGTTGTGATATTGATAACAACTCTTCAAAAACTCTGATTTATAGACATATAATATTTGTTACTAGTTTCTTTAGTTCCCTAAACTTTGCCAGTTTAAGAAAATAGTTTGTAATTTTCATTGTACCACTCATCAACTAAAGATTTGCAAAAAGGCTTTTCATGCTTTCTGACAATATAAAATAATAATTTGATAAAGATTTTCATTCTTATAACTTCTGTGATTGAGAAATCTTTATTATTGTGTACCAATATGTATCACATCCTAAACAAATGATTAGATGCAACTAAGGAAACTGGAAAAACTTCTCACCCTGTGGAGAGACCCATGTTTATCCTGTTGTGACCAGTGAACACGTTTAAGGTGTCATGTGCATACGTGCAAACCATTATTATAAATTCAGCTAAAAATAGTCATTTGAACTGTAATAACAATTTTTAACTCAAAAATATTTTAGAATTGATATTTTGTAATTTTGTAACATTTATTTAGTGTAGTTCACAAAGAAAATAAGTTCATACTTGCTTTTGTGCATAGCTTTAAAGAGTCTCATCTATAAACAACACATTTATAGATACTTTCAGAATTTTTCTACCCAATCCAAAACATAGGTTTATATTTACTAAAACAATGTATACTTGAGAATATAGTTAAGCATATTTTGTTTTACAGCATGTGCTCTGAACAAGTGATGAAGCTGAACTTTGAAAAGAGCTACAGGCAAAGTTTAAATGCCATTGGATAGAGCAGTTATAAACTGTAACAAAGTAAACAGAAATTAAGTGGGAAGCTTTAAAAGACTTAGGAACAAATCACCAATATGAAAATTTTTTTATAACTTCTTTAGACATGTTTTTTGTTCAGGAAAGTGCTTGTGTTAAATTATGTGTGTATAAAAGCTGTGAAAATTTTATTTTTTAACAAGACATCAGGTAATGCAGTAACGTTTAACAAGTATTCTGATGACTCAACTCCTTTTTACTGAATTTTATTGTTAAGTTTATGATATTAAAACAATGCATGTAAATAAGAACTTATTATTTATTGAAAAGAAACTATACTTATTAAATATAAGTTGATCTTAACCAAAAATATTTGTAACAAAAATATTATTATCTAGCCTGAACTGATGCCATTTTGAAAGGTTAGCTCTTCAGTCACTGATAAATCTTTGTCAATTTATATAGTGTTTATTACAACTTATAACCAGAAGTGGTAACTGTTGCAATTGACAAAACAAAATATCAAAAGAAATATGTTAATGAAAATCATTAAAGTTGAAATTTGCTGGTAATATAAGGTGGAACTTTCTGATCAACAATAAAAAAAATAGAAATTCTAAGACAAAAGAAAGTATTTTAATGTTTTTTCACACACAAATAAATGTTTTGAAATTTCACAACATAAATTAGAGAAAAACAAACAAATTGTATGAATTTTTCCAACCCAAAACTAATTTTATTCTATTTGATTAAGTATTTCCATTGCGAGAAGGAAGAAATCAAGGGATATCATTGACACCCCCTGGTATGGAAAGGATTAAAGAATGCATGGTTATGTGTGTTCCAGCCCTAAAAAATTTGTTAGTAATTTTTTCCAAAAAATGGGAACATAAAAGGAAATTTTTAGAGAATACCTCTTTGTTTGTTTAAGGTTAACCTGTATTATAAAAACATAAATATCAAGACTTTCATTGCTTAATATTTCACATGTTTGTTTAATATTGGAAGATGTGGGGTCAGTGATTCATTTGGAAAATAACTTTTCATTTGAGAACTTATAGTGGATTTTTGTATTTTCTACATTTGTGCTTCATTGTTGTTGTTTTTTGTAGTTAATCTGTTAATTTGATTAAACAAATGTGCAATAGCTTGATCCATTGGATTGACCCCATACTGGAGAAAGAATATTAACTATAATTCTGAATTTGCTATGTATATCTAGACAAAATATAACAAGCATTTAGTAAAAGGTACAAGTTTGTTGTACACAAAAACTGAGATGAGTTACAAAGGTATTTGTACTCAAGATATGTTTGTGAATTGATGATGTCAGTCTGACTCAGACTTTGATAAGTCAGAGTGCAAGGTAATGTTTCTGTGAAGAATAAAAATACTTTTGTCCATATTCTGGTCTACATATGGCCTTTGCATAACTTCTAGAACCTCCAAAATGCTTATTTATAGTTTTTTTAAGTATTCCTTCATATTGTATCTGATATTTATTCTTCTCTACCATGAACTGTTGCTGAATAAGCAGTGTAGGGTAAAATGAATAGTTGGTAGCTCTAACATCAAATATATAATATCTTATTGAACAATACTGTAAAAGATCATTACTTGCACATTTTTATCTCATCTGTATGAATACGGTTAATTACTTTTTAGTAAGCTGTGTGATTTTATTCTCATTACTTTTATATATTATTTCTTTCTTCTTTTTTTTTTTTTTGTACAGTAATAGGTTCTTCCAAGTATTTTTGTTACCCATTTGAATCTCCTTCACATTCTAAGTAAGCGATTTGGAAGTTTAACCACAGTTGGAATAATTTATTAAAATCAATCCACTTGATTCAACTTCAGCAGGTGTTCTTGTTTTCTTACCTGCAAATCATTATTGAATTATGTTTTTTATACATTTCTCACCCATTATAAAGTGTGTGTGAAAGAACATTAATTACTATTTATTATTCTGACTTTTGAGACAATTTTTTGAACTTTGAAGTTAAGGTACTTTTAAGTTTAACAGTGAAGAAAGGTAACTAAATGTAATACTTTTTTCTTTAGTTTTGTTAAGTTTATGAAATAATCTAATTTTTTTTCAGTTTATAAATGCAAGGAAGTTCCAGTAAAATTGAGTATGTTTCCACGGTAGTTGTACTTACTTATCAAAAGACATGAATTATCTTTTTTAAAGTAGAGGAAGATAAAAATTATGAAGGTGACATGAAGATATTACAAGTGATAGAAGCTTACTGTACTAGTGCAAAAGCAAGATATACTGTGAATTCAGGTAGGTCTGGCTTCTCTAATATAAATCATTTCTGTAACATTTGAATGCTATATTTTGGAGTCATGAAATATGTGTATTTTTATGCAGTATAAGAAAATGTAATCATGTACTACTAATTACTTTGGCCATCCTTTGCCCTTTGAGTGCTTTTGACATTGTTGTTTATTATGTTTCAATGTCTTGTTAAATTTATTTTCAAATCTTTTAAACTTGAAATTCTCTCTTAAGTTTCACTGAATCTGAAGAAGTGAATGTGAAGAACTTTTCTGTTTTAATAAATGTTATAGTGCATAATTAACCTGCTAGTTTGTTCCAGATGCATATTATTTTTTTAAGCTTTTAACTTAACTAATTTAAGTAAGATAATTGTTTTTATTAACTCTTTGACTACAGGCAGGTGCATTACACCTACTATGTAACCACTAAAGTAACCATGAGATTAGTCATACTATAACTTTTGATAATGTATGTGTATTGTCATGAAATTTTTCAGACTATCATTACACATTACAAGGCTTTTGTACGCAAAGGAATCAGATTTTTTTTAGTTAACTATTTTAATTAAAGATTTGTTCATGAATTTTTATTTTAGAATGTTGACTATCCAACATGCAAAGTAATTTTGATTTTAAGATTAAAAATACTTTTCTTCAGCTGAATTTCATTTTCATAATCTCTAAAACATCCTATATACTCTTAAATAAGTATCAAACATTTTTTGTTCCAGTAAAACTATATTTCGCCTGTTATTTTCTTTACCCTAATTCTATACGTAACTCGGAACCACCACGTAAAATTAGGAAATAAATCTAAATCACCCTCTTTTCTTCCTAAAATTACTGTAAATTTTAACAGGAAACCACAGTTGTGTATTTTAAATAGCTTAAAGCTTGTGTCAGTATACATCTGTTTATATTTACTAATTTTTTGTTTTATTGAATTTTTTTTAACAGTGTCTAACTAATAATCCCACCATACAAGTTGTAACTCACTTGGTGCACATGCAGCTCATGTTACCTTATGAAATAGCATAAAACTGACCTATAAATTACTCTTACTTTTAGTACTAGCATACCAGTATTTTGTAAAATATAGTGACATTTCGGTTACCATACATCACCTATGTGTGTGTGTATATATATATATATATATATATTTACAAATGCATCTTTAAACTGCAGTAAATAAAAGATATATAGAAAACAATTAATCTAGTGCTTGTGATGTTATGAAGTTTTTGTACTCATGTGTTGTACTTGCAAAGCCTTTTTGAATTTTGCATATGGAGTAAGTAGAAAAAGTCCACTTTGATGCCAAATTTATTGACATACATTCATGAAATAATAGTTTAATAACATTTTGAGTTTAAGTCTATAAAAAAAATTTCCCTATCCCTACCTGTATGGAAAGGGTTAATTGTGAATGATTTTTTTGTGTATGTATGTTTTCTGTGTCTAGTATTTTGACTTGTGATATTGCATATTCATTTGAATATATAAAATACACCATCTAATTGATATAATACTGGAAATTCAGTAATTTTTTATATCTCAAGAAAATTTAATTTTTTTCACAGATTAGTTTATGATCACAAAAAATGTAAACGTTTATATAAGTTGAATATCATATTCGTGTATTTATTATCAATGAAGATTTTATTAAGAACTTGGAAAGTACTGTACATGAAAAAATTAAATTATAAATACATTTCATCTTGTCTGAGAAGTTAAAAGATATCAACTTGATTTCTATAACTTTTTTAATCCTTTCCCTTTGAGGAAAAATTTTTAAAAACATGTTTTGCTATTAATAGGTATTAAAAAAATTGTTATAACCCAACATGCTCCCCAGTGGCACAGCAGTATGTCTGCGGACTTACAAAGCAAGAAACCGGGTTTTGATACCCGTGGTGGTGAGCAGAGCACAGATAGCTCATTGTGTAGCTTTGTACTTAATTACAAACAAACAAATTATAACCCAACATAATGAATTTTTGTTTAGTGAAAAATTGAATGTTATCTCTGTTCTTAGTTTCATATTTGATGATAGGCTGAAAAGTCATTTCATATACTAATCTAACAGCTTTTGTGAGATTCTTAGCCTTTCAGTTGGTATTATTTAATTAGAAACAAAAACAAGTAATATTCCTAAATCTAATTGCACTGGAGCTGAGCAAGATACTCAAATATTTTTAGTTTTGGAAAAGTGGTGAACATTTTGGTGTTTGTGCACAATTTTAAAGCATTTAAATCTTCAGATTAAGAAAACTTTTCAAAAGTATTAAGAGTATTGAATTTAGAGTTTCTTGAAGAAAAATGGTTTTAAATCTACCAAACAACCCCATCATACATAAAGGAAAAAATATGAGAGTAATTTTGTTTTTGCCATTTAATAAGTATGGGAAAATTTTGATTGTAAATACTAATGCTTCATTCAAATGAAATGTTTTGTGTAAAGGCTCAAGCACGAAGCATCTTTTTCATATACAGTTACTGTGCATTGTGGGCTGTCTTTACTAATATTATTTAGCAAATTTTTGTATGGTGTTAACAAAAGAATAACTTAGTATAGTGAATGCGTATGTATAGCATTTGACTTCTTGTTTCTTGAATTTTTAAATATTGTTAAGATATTCTGCTCACTGTAACAGAGTCTTAGAACAGTTTTTGTGTTAGATTCTGTGTACTATTAATTAATAGATGTATGTGTCTAAAATGAATGAATGAACCTTCTTTGCACCTCTTAAAGGTATAAATCAGTTTTCAGAAAGAAATTTGTCATGGTTTTTCTATTTCAATTTTGAAAGTGATGTTTTTGTAAGGTTTAACTTGTACTCCAAGGTAACAGCCATGTACCATTTGTGATTGTTAGAATTTTTTTTTTAAATAGTATTTGAAATTCTTTCTTTGCAGTATTATGTTGTACTATTTTCAGTGTAAAAATTGTGTATTCTGAGGAAAAAGCCAATAATATTATATGTTGTGTTCCATATTTTTATTTTTACAGGTTATTAATTTTGCAATTGTTTGTTTCAAGGTTTTTGAAACCTATGTGATAATTAAAAAAAATACACTTATGTGGCTCTTGTGAGTTTATTTTTATCTCCAAAAACTCCTTCCAGAATTTCCTAATATGGAGAAGAAATAAGCACTTCTAAT